TTTTCTTTACCTCAGAGCAGAGTGAATTACTCAAATAAGCTTCTGAAGTTGGCCAAGGAAAGACCGAACAAAAACTAACAGGCATCTTAAAGGAGAGAAAATTTAAAGCTACACACATGCGCTGTAGTCCCCCTTTCTAACTATTTTTCACAATAAAGAAAATGTCATTCTCCCTCTCAGTAAACCTATTCTGGAAATCCTAAGTTGCGCAAAGAAGCAGTTGTGCGCTCAAGCCTTCTATGAAGGATAAAATAGGCACTACACACAAAGCTTCCGATCAAGATGCTTTGATTCCATCCAGAATGGATCGGAGTCCAAATAACGATGAAATGATAAAAGGCTTTCCGGTTTATTATTTTTATTGACTACTTGCACGATCATCGATGCGACAGTACACGTATGCTACGAATATGGCAGGTAGCAATTAAGTACGGAAAAAGAAGATTCGGCCGCTACCGGTCGGTATCTCGCTTCACTAGGCTTCACACTTAAAAATTACGAGCGGCGCCAGAGAAAAAAATTCGATGAAGGTAAAATCATATAATTATTTGTTTGTATGAAAGAAAAAATATATTTGTTTACGGTTTGTAAAGTCCTATACAGTGGAAAAGGGCTGCCTTTTGAGAAACACCCCCTTGCCAATGTCTTAATGACGAAAAACTCTCAGAAATGCAAACCTGCATATATAGTCAGCAATTCGTTTCTTGTCTAAACGTGGATTTTCACGTAACCAGGATACAACATCAACTGGATCCAGTGGTGATTTTAGGATCCCTTTTTCTTTCAAGAAGTCTATTCCTGTAAATTTTTGAAATAGTCCATCAAATAAATGCTGTATTAACAAAACTGAGCCACTACTAGCGGCAAAATCGTTGCTATACACGCCACGGAAATTCTCAGGAAATGCTAGGAAACGCTGAATTTTCCCTCTTAAAGCCAGTGTAGAATAAATAGCAACGCGTACCAGATTAGTCGGTGCGATCATGCGTTTTGTGCAATTCAGCCCATAGAACGATTGCCTATTAATGATTTTCACTGCTCTGTACTGTTGTCTATGCAAAAATAGTTCAGACATTGGAAAATAGTCAAAAATTTCACGCACCAGCGTATGAAAGCTAAATTCGAAACCTTGAAGGGTGAATATCTTTATTCCGAGTTAATAGTTTACCCGCCAAAATTCTCACGAGGCCGTAGGTGATACTCAAGAGCGCGGGAATGCTGAATTTGAATGCGCAAGGTTAATCGTGGGCAGGGGGTCATTACCCTAAAATTTCAACCTCCTAGACTCGGTGGTTCCCGAGATATTAATTTACCCATACGTGTTACCCGCGGGTACGGGGAAGCTGAATTTAAAGTTGCGGGGCCACACGTGGGTGGGGAACTCTCCCCTAAATTTCCAGCTTCCTAAT